TATGAAACAGAATCATTACCAACATTCATGTGCATGCTGAATCATTTAAGCCTCTTTCTAGAAGGCTCAGAATGTTGTAAGTTCTGCTATTATTCCCTGGTTCTACTTGTTTTGTATCATTTCTTACTTTCTTCCATTGTTACATACCTGGAGCAGTCCCTCTTATTGTTTTCATTGTGTATTTGCCTAAAACTTATCTTAAATAGTGCTGGTTCTGCCTATCTTCTGTAACGATAAAAACAAGTAACACAGATATGTTCCATTTACTTAAAAGTAAAGTGAAAATAAATACAACCTGGGGATATTTTCTAAAGACTATAAATGAACATTAATGCACAGACATTAGGTAGCAATTTTTAACTGCCCATAAGTCTTTTATTATTTCTCCTTTTAAACTTTCAGGTAGTATTATTATAAAGAGATGCATTGTTGTTTGAGTGGGTAGCACAGACAAGTAGGAATTGTGTAATAATTCCTGTAGGGCCAGAAGCAGCAAGAGAAGGGAAGGATGGAAAAGAAGACAAGAAAGGATTTTGAGAAGAATAAATAGAATATCAAAGTAGAATGAAAAGGAGGATATTTTGGAAATGAATTTGCTCCTTTAGAAAACTTATTCCACCTATATTATTATTATGTGGTAGAAAAATATTCTTCAAAGGAGGATTCTATCAGAATGTGTAAGAACATTTCTCAGGTGAAGAGGTTCTTTCTGTTCTGACTATTTTTGTCAGACTAACATCTGGTATATCAAATTACAGTTATCTTGAAAAACAGGATGCCTGCATTCACATGTAACAGCACTTTCCTGGTATCAGAGACCCTCTTTGGAAGGAGCTAATTGATTTTCTCTGGGGATAAAAAAAGTAGACCCCAGTTCTTTTTTTTTCCCATTTATTTATTTTATTGCATTTTAGGTTTTGGGGTACATGTGAAGAACATGCAAAATTGTTGCATAGGAACACACGTGGCAGTGTGATTTGCTGCCTTCCTCCCCATCACCTACATCTGGCATTTCTCCCCTTGCTATCTCTCCCCAGCTTCCCACCCCCCACCGTCCCTCCCCTATTTCCCCCCAACTGACCCCAGTGTGTAGTGCCTCCCTCCCTGTGTCCATGTGTTCTCATTGTTCAACACCCGCCTATGAGTGAGAACATGCGGTGTTTGATCTTCTGCTCTTCTGTCAGTTTGCTGAGAATGATGGTTTCCAGGTTCATCCATGTCCCTACAAAGGACCCAAACTCATCGTTTTTGATGGCTGCATAATATTCCATGGTGTATATGTGCCACATTTTCCCTATCAGTCTATCGTCGATGGGCATTTGGGTTGGTTCCAGGTCTTTGCTATTGTAAACAGTGCTGCAATGAACATTCGTGTGCACGTGTCCTTATAGTAGAACGATTTGTAATCTTTTGGATATATACCCAGTAATGGGATTGCTTTAGTTTCCACATTGTTCTAAGTTAGGCTTCTGATAAGGAAGGCTTCACAGATAGTTGTTTCTTGTTAGCTACAGGGGATCACTTCCAAGACCCACTCCAGAACACCAAAATCTGCTCATGTCCCTTATATAAAATGATATAATATTTGCACATGACCTATGCACATTGCCTTGTATACTTTAAATTATATCCAGACTACTTAAATATCTAATACAATATAAATGTGATGTAAATAATTGTTATACTCTATTGTTTGAAAAATTGTATTGTTTTTTATTTGTGTGTGTGTGTTTTTTTTAAATTTTTTATTCAAGATTGATTGAATCCACGAATGTGGAATCCATGGGTATGGGGGGCTGATTATATTCTCTTCTCCAGTATTCTCCATCTGCTGTTACAGTGAGCTCGATGAAGCAGAGAACTAGTACTCATTAATACTCCTCTTTACTTTTGCTATACTTAGTGTCCCTATTGCTTGACAAAACTTGAGAAGGTCTTCACAATCTGAGCTGAAAAACTTCTTGTTTCTGAGGATTTTGATCTGTAAAATAAGAGTGATCTTATCTAACTCAGTGTTTCTTACATTGTAATATACATAGGGATTAACTAGACATTTTAGTTAAAATGTAGATTCTAATTTAGCATGCCTGAGATATGGCCAGATGCTTCAATCCTATCATTCTATTTAGTTTCTCCCTGTGTGTATACACACAGACACACAGACACACACACACACACACACACACACACACACACACACACAGAGAGAGAGAGAGAGAGAGAGAGAGAGAGAGAGAGGGAGAGAAATTATCACTATTTTCTAACAACATATATTAAAATAGAACATCCAGAGTACAGATGATTTTTTTTTAAGTGCAATGATGTTGGGATCTGAAAATCTGAGTCCAGTCCTGTAATTTTGGACAAATTACTTTCTTTCTTGAGTCATCACTTCCTGACCTATAGAATTAAAATGACTGGCCATATTACAAAAGTTAAATCAGAAAATGTATGCAAATGTCCTGATATTGATTCTGGCAATCAATATGTGACAGTTTTATTATATTGTTGCAAAAGGCACAAGATATAGACAGTGCTATCTCATTTGCACAACTTGTGTGTTTCAAGATGGTTTCCAGTTAGATTCAGAAGACTCAAAGAAAAAAAAAGAAGCATAATGAGATAATTAGTATGATAAATGGAAACTTTTTACTTGCAATTACTACAAAAGACATTTGTGTCAAAGATGATATGAGAAGCAATTCGAGGATGAATAGTCCAACCTTAATTTACTTTCAATAAAAATAATGGAACATATTTTCTTGCTCATTAGAATTATGAAGTTAAAGTTTATAAATCCATATGTATTTTGTTTATTCAGAATGGTTCAGACTGAATTGGGTAGAAGTCTTCCTTGGTGCTATCTATGGAAAAAAAAAGTTTTGCTGTGAAATTAAGAACGCGAAGCACATCATATGGAGGAACAAGAGTAGAGAGAGGGTGCAGGGAGAGAAATAGTTAACTATTAGATGGAGTTATAATTTACTTCTCACTCTTTTTATCCACATTAAACGTTTTTCCTAACAGCACGTCCAAGCCACTGCATCAGAAGCTTTAAAAGTAGCCATTGCTATAGTTGGTAATACATAAATATATACTCTAGATCAGGGATTGATATGGTCTAACTGTTGGGCCAAATTTGGCCTTCTTTATCTTGTCATGAATTTGGTTTTATTGTAATATAGCCATGCTCATTAATTAATATATTACCTATAGCTGCTTATACACTGCAACAGCAGAGTTGAATCGTTTTGACAGAGACTGTATAGACTGCAAAGTCTAAAATGTTTACTATCTGGCCCTTTTCTGAAAATGTTTGCTAAACTCTGCTCTAGAGTAAAATAAATCTAACATCTGTGAACTTCCTACTATATGCCGTGTACGTCATCCATGCAATTTTAATCAAGACCATTCTGTAAAAATGTCCTGAATGACTTCTGTTTGCCAGGAAATGTTGTGGATGCAGCAATAATCAGTAAGACACAGTTGTTGCTATCATGTGTTTTAGAGGTGGGTAAAAGCAACGGCTCTTATTAATGTGAATTGTGAAGTGTTATGAACTCACATCATTAGGATATGTAATGATGTGGTCATGGATCCCAATACAACTTTTAGATAAATATTATCATTCCCATTTTAACGACAAAGAAACTGAGACTCAGGAAAGTTAGAAAATCGCCCAAAGCCAAGTAGCTAGTAAGTGTCAAAGCTATGTTTTGTTTTGTTTTTTAAGAAAACATGTATATAACTAGAGACACACACTAATTGCCCAACTGATACTGTGCTTCCGAAGTTTGTCTCAGAATGGCTTTCTCCTTGGTGTCTTAGGCCTCATCTTTTCTTCTTTGCTCTATTCTCTGTTTTCAGGAAAGTGTATTTAATTCTGACCATATTTCTGACATACAGTGATTCCTTCACTCCATTTTCCCTTTTGCATCTATGCTGTCCTACTGCCCGACCCAACTGCCTTGACCTTCTCACGGATATCTCATTTATGTGCCTTGATCTGAAGTTCCTTGTGATCCCTGGCTCTGCCTTGATCACATTTTTTTCTCCTCAGGTTTTCCCTTCATATTTCAGAGCCAAAGGATTTGTGAGCTCTCAGCAGTCAATCACTTTGGAACTAATAAATAAGTATTGAATATGTTCAGTCAATTTATTGTTTGGATATAGATGGAAACTACTGATTATGAAAGAGTCTTGACTGTTTCTTTTGTAATTCCACAAACAGTGATATTTTTAAATCCTTACAGGGAAGACCCCCAGGCATGGAATTAGTAGATCTGAGTTTAGGTTCTACCTGTAGCATTGAGTGTTATTTTCTCATTTATAAAATTTAGATAATTATAGGGATCTTACAGACTTACTGTGAAGTTAAAATGAGCCAAGTTTGGGGATGAAACTTTGTGTAAATACAGGGTAATTTCACATATATAGGACAATGATATTAACATTAATTTTACCATTAGGGATTGTATAAATGCATTTGAACTGTCACACCAATTCTTTAATATTGCAATGTGATGAGGAGAGAAAAATAAGCACATGGAAGATTAGAAGCAAGACTTGAGCACAAAATACTGTTTTGGAGAAAAGAGAAGCAGAGCATAACTTGGAAGAGCCAAAAGACATGTCAGAAAACCTCTAACCCACGGTAAAATCAAACACAAAGGAGAACACAACCCCTCATGCTGTGTTCTCTTTCTTGAAGGCCTAGAAGTAGTTTCTATAACTCAAAGGAACTAAATGCTTTCTCTTTCCAAATGCATATGTTATTGTTTGTAAAATCAAATGTGTTTTATAAATAAAATAATGTTTCCTTTTTCTTTTATCTGATAAATTTTAATTAAATTGAAAGAATGGAGACTGACAATTAATGGTTATGGGCTTCTTTTGGCGTACATAAAAATATTCTAAAATTGATTGTGGTTATGGTGGCACAACTCTGCAAATATGCTAAAAACCATTGAGTTGTATATATTACACTGATTCACTATGACTCTTACTGTGCTATTAACCACACATGTGCTATAGTTCATTCATCTAGGCACATGGAAGAAGTGCATTTTTTTTCTCACCTTGAAATTAGGCATGCCAACTGATTTTCTTGGGTCAATGAACTATTAACAGGAGTGCAATGCACATGTCACTTAAAGATGGAGGCTTCATAAACCAGCATGTGATTTAATGTGTTTTATTTTTCCGCTTTGGTAATCATAGTTGAGAATGTTAAGATGAAGTCTCCATCAGGCTGTGTCTCTGCTGACACTTGTTGGACAAGCCATATAAGCAGAAGTTAAACCTTTAAATTCACTAGAATGTTAGTGTTGTATGTTACCCAGCATAACCTAGCTAATCTGGATTGATAAATCTAGTCAGTTATAAACGAAATGGAAAGATCCCAAGCCTTTCTTGCAAAAGAGTTTGCAAAGCAGGTTTATGGCATACCAAAGAGCAGGTCAACATGTTAGGCATCTCTAGTAGTAGTTTCAGGAGGGATGTAAAGTGGCAGACATTCTCAATTTCTTCTCTAAAACTCACCAATTAAATAAGCCACTCTTCCTTGAAGGAATGAAGAGAAACATCATGAGTTAGTCAAGTGAGAGTTCTATCATAGACACATGATTCCAGGGGAAGGGGACTTTCTTATGACACGGAGGTAATTCATCTACACTCACTCAAAGGATGTGAGCTATCTCAAGTGAAAGTGTTATGGCTCTCCCCACTTCTCTTCATTTCTACTATTTCTTATCCTCTCCTCTTTCACCTCATGTGATGATTAAGTGAGGTGACATGTAAGAACATGCTTCATCAATTGCTAAGTATTATGTTACCATTAGTTCTGACTTTCTGTTTTGTGAAATGAAAACAGTGTTCCCTGCCCTGCTAACCTTCCAGAATTATACAGAATCCCATTTGGATTGGTAGATGCAAACACGATCACCTCATAAATTTTAAATGCCTATACATATCTAAACCATTAGTATTGTTTTAATGTGTTCTTGTTAATAATGTATGAATTTATTTGCTACCACACTCTACAAATTACTAGATCTCTAATATTAAAATGGTGGCTCCTCTTTTGATAATTTCCTCTTTTCTGAAAAATGGGGAGAATATGGCATCTACATGTTAAGAACTAAATGAAAATTTACATGTAAAATTGCTCCATGTTGTCTAGAATTTTATCCTTAGTAAGTTATAGCTGTTGCTGTTAGCCTTATCTCTACAAAAACTATACAACATTTTGAGTCAACACTCTGGATATAATATTATTCACCATTGGCTGAAAGGTGACCTCATGAGCTGAGATAAGGCAGGGATAATTTGAAGAAGACCATTATATATACACATGAAAGCCACATACTCCAATCCACCCTCTGTCCACAGTAACAGTGGGTGTGTTCATCTTCATCTCTTGAATCTTATTTCCACGTATCAATTTGTCTTAAAATTTCAACATCAGGGTGGACCTTTTAGGGTCCAAAGTGCAGATTCCCTCTTCCAATCCTTGTTGGATATGCAATATCAGCAGAAATTAAACTTTTTCTTTAGCCCACTGAAATGTTGTCATTTCAATATAATCTGCTACATCCTGAAGGATAAACTTAGCCAGTTATAGAGCAAGCTGGACAACTCAAAACCTCCTCTGCAGAAGAGTTTGTTTTGGCAAGGTTGGAAAGAAGACATGTTACTTATTCACTCCCCAAATTTCCAACTCTTGGCTGATAGAGATGACTAAGATAACTTGAAGTTTATATGTTTGGGTCTTCTGAATTTGCCCATTGCTGTTTGTAATATAAAATTCTGTTTAGATTTCTTGGTAGAGGCAATGATAAGAAAAAGGAAATTATTAACAATAGGATGAAGAAAATTAATTAACCTAGGGAATTTTAGGGCTGAAAACTATATGAGGTGGTGTTCGGTTTCATAAGTCATATTTGGCAATCACAGGTAACACTGTAACTGAACTTAGATTTCTTTGCAATAAAGAAAAATAAAATCAATGCTATCAAAATGTAGCTGCCCCCTCTTGCCACCAAATAAAAGAAATGGAGTTGACTAATCCAAACTCGTTTTGGATTTAACATCACTAGTTTGGTTTTTAATTTAAATTGTGACAAGGGTCAAAAAATGTTGCATTTTTATGTTCTTTTTTTGAAGTTCTCATTAAAAAATAACCCTACGATTTTAAAGAAGGAACAACAACAACAAAAAGAACTCTAAGACATAAAGGGATATTCATTACCTTTAGAAAGAAGTACAGGTAGGCTTGGGAAAAACAAAGACAGAATTTGAACATTAAAACCAGAAAGACAATAAAACAACTCTCATATGAATGCATTTACTCAATGTGGGAAGTAAAAAAGATAGTGGAAGCTTTCAAAAATAAAAGTAAATCTATAATTTGTGACATGGCAAGGTAGAGGAGTCTAACATTTATTGAGTACCTGCTATGAGACAGTAATTGCCCTGCATTACTGTGAGCCTCATTTCCCCAGGAACATGTATTAAACACTTATTTGATGAGTATTTGCCAAGAATTTTACATACATAACTTCATTTAATCTATTTTTTAAATTGCCAATCTGTTAACTTAATTTTTCAGCCTTATTGATGTATAACTGACATACAAAAATAACATATATATATATATATATATATATATATTTAAGGTGTACAAAATAATTTGTTTTTTAAATTTTGTTTTGGGGAGGTTTACTCTGTGTTTTCGGATTTTTTTTTTTTTTTTTTGGTGGGAGACAGGGTCTCACTCTGTCACTCAGATTGGAGTGCAGTGGCAGGATCGCCACTCACTGCAGAATAGAACTCCTGGGTACAAGTGATCCTTTGGCCTCTGCCTCCAGGGTAACTGGAACTACAGGCATGAACCACCATGCCTGAATAATTTTTGTACCTTTTGTAAAGACAGGATTTCACCATGTTGCCTGGTCTTGAACTCCTACACTCAAGCAATTCTCCCACCTCAGCCTCCAAAAGTGCTAGGATTACAGGCATGAGCCACCATACCTGGCCCTTGATATACATATATACTGTGAAATGATTACCACCATCAAGCTAATTAGCCTCACATAAACAAATAACCTGTGTTTGTGTTTGCTTGTGTGTGTAGTGAGAATACTCAACATCTATTCTCTTAGAAAATTTCAAGTATATAACACATTGTTATTAACTGCAGCCACCATGCTATACAATAGGCCTCCTGAAGTTATTCTTATGCCTTTGATCAACATCCGATTTATCTTCCCTCCTGACCCCTAGTAATCGCTCTTCTATTAATTTGAACTTTTAGTTCCCACATATAAATGAGATCATGTGGTATTTTTCTTTCTTTGTTTGGCTTATTTAACTTATCATAATGTCCTCCAGATTAATTCCTATTAAAATTCCAAAAAATTTTCATAGAAATAGAAAAAAATTTAAATTATATGGAACCACAAAAGACCTCAAATAGCTAAGGCAATTTTGAGAAAAAACAAAGCTGAAGGCATCACACTTCCTGATTTCAAATTATATAACAAAATTATAGTAATGATACAGGCATGAAAACAGACACATAGATCATTGAAACAAAAAAGAAAGCACAGAAATAGGTCCATGCTTATAACTCAACTCATCTTCAACAAAGATGCCAAGGAAAGAGAGAAAGGATAGTTTCTTTGGTAATAGTGTTTAATAAACTGAATAATCATATGCAAAAAAAAAAAAAAAAAAAAAAAAAAAAAAAAAAAAAAAAAAAAAAGGAAATTGGATCATCTTAAATCATACACAAAATTAAATTAAAATGGATTAAAGACTTAAATGTAATACCCCAAACTGAAAAACTCCTAAAAGAAAACATAGGGGAAAATCTTCATGACATTTGGCAATAATTTTTTGGATATTACACCAAAAATAGAGGCAACAAAAGCAAAATTAAGCAACTGGGACCATTCAAATTAAAAATTTTTTCATAGCAAAAGAAATCATTAACAATGTTAAAACACAACTATGGAATAAGAGAAAATATTTGCAAATCATATATTCACTAAGGGTTATTATCCAGAATATACAAGGACTCATACAACTCAATAGCAAAAACACAAATTTAATAAAAAAACAACAAAGAACCTGAATAGGGGTTAAAAAAAAGATATAAAAAGATATACAAATGGCCAACAAGTATATTCAAAGGTAATTGGCTTCTCTAATCATCAGAAAAATATAATCAAAACTACCATGAGATATGATTCATGCCTGTTAGGATGGCTATTATCAAAAAGTCAAAAGCTAACAAGCGTTGGCAAGAATGTAGAGAAAAGGGAATCCTTTTATATTGTTGGTGGGAATCCAAAATTAGTACCAACCATTATGGAAAACCATATAGAAGTTTCTTAAAAAATTAAAAATAGAAATATCGTATGATCTAGTAATCTCACTATTGGGTATATATCCAAAGAGATGAAACAGTATATTGGAGAGTTATCTGCTCTCCCATGATCATTGCAGCAGTAAATCACAATGGGCCAAGATATGGACACAACCTAAGTATTTATGCATACACATACATACAAACACACACACACATGCAGAAATATTATTCACCCTTAAAAAGAAATAAATAATTTCATTTAATCTTAACTACAACTCTAAATAGGCTATTTTTATTTTCAGGTGTTTCAGTAAACTATTGGAGTTTACTTAACTCCAGTAGTCAGCCAGCTAGTAACTTTGTGATGTTAAGATTTAAACCCATATCTGATTAACCTCAAAGCTCAGGCAGTTTCCACAGTGCAAAAGTGTCCCGAGTGTCTCTCATCTCTTGTCCTCCACAGTGTATGAAGCTCATCCACAGCAGCCCTCTACTGACATATGACTAATACCAAGGCTCGCAATTTGTCCTGTAAAGCTGGATTCCACAGAATGTTTCCCTTTGAGCTGGAAGAGAATCAGATGCTTTGCAGCTTCCATTCATTGGTATTAAAGGAGTCTTCTAAAGCAACA